CTCATACTCATTCCCACTTTAACTCTGATCTTACAGACATATACATGTACTACCATTTAGAGTCACTGTTTAAACGTTTAAACATACACAAAAAGATTCTAATATGTTGATATTTGCTGAAAAATTTTGTATCTCAAAAAAGGAAAAATTACAGGTCATGGTAACAACTTTCTTATCTTTTAATGGAAGTAAATGTAAAAATATTTTATTCTAATTCGGGACCATTTTTATTGGTCTATTCATAATGACTAACTAAAGATAAAATAAAAATAACTTTTGACACAGTGTAAAGAGCAGCTGGCATTCTCAAACTATGCAGAAAAAAAAAACATGAAAAGATTTTGTTTAGACAGCAGCACTTTCATATACCTCTAAAAAGAGATTTTTTAAGGGTTCTTTAGTAAAGACAGTGGTTACATACACTTTTAAACAAGATGGTACTTCACAGGTTCTTGAGTAAAGACAATGCTTCTATAAAGCAACATGAACACTCAAAGAACCATGTGCATGCTTAAAGCATTCTCTGCATCGTGAAATACTGATTCAAATTGTTCAATATCCTTTAGACTGATGGAGAATGAGTTGTATATAAACCTTTTTGAAAAGGATTCTATAATGCACCTATTGTTACAAGCTTGACATCATAACAACAGAAGAACCTTCTTTAGCGGTATAAAGAATCAACCTTTCAGAAAGGTTTTTACACAGAACCACATACAACACACTCTCCATCAATCTGAAGAATGATTTCAAATAATGATTCTTTGGAAAATGGTTATTTGAGTGTGTATGGTTTTATATAGACCAACTGTTTTTACTTAAAAACCCATGAAGAACCATCTTTTTTAATATTGTACAGAACCATGACTTACAGAACGATGCTTAAATGATTCTTTGCTTGCTTAAATGGTCCTGATGTATATGGTCCTTCAAAGAACCTTTTTAAAAATGATTCTCTATAGCATCCAGAAGGGTTCCACTACTGTTATGAATCAAAGAACTCTTCTTTAGCACTATATAGAACCCTATTTGCTAAAAGCGTACAATTCAAACAATTTGAAAAACATTTACAGTGATGAATGGAGCTGTAGATGATTCTATTATAACTGACAGAGTTGTTCTGCACCAAGAATAAACTTAGAGTAAAACTAATATCCAGAATGCCTGACTGTTGAAAGTCAGTGACTAAATCTTGCTGATCAAATAAGCTGTTCCTAGTAATTCAATGAGAAGATATTACTATAAATGAATAGTTTCATTCCAAAATGCTATATAACCATTTTTTACCAATCTGGATGTAATGAGCTTTTGAAAAGAATAGCAGCATATATAATATAATATAATATAATATAATATAATATAATAGAATGCAACCACATTTTTATTTCCTTTATTATATAGTAAATAATTGAAAATTGACCATATAATATAATTGAAATATAGTTTATAACAGTTCAGTCACTGTACAGCAAGTTATCACTGAATAACAACTATATTATATTATATTATATAATATTACCCCTTAAATGGCACACTTTTATAACCCAAGAATAGTTCAGCCAGTTTGCATTAAAGTAGTAACAGAGTAATAAGTCTTAGCGCATAGGTAATTATATTATAATATTATGAGGGAGTCTTAACTTTGGAACAGTAGTACAACACTGTTAATAATAATACAAATAAAGATAACAATTATGATTTATTATCATGAATAACGATCATTTATATTGCACCTTTATGCATTAACATGCATAACATCAGTCGGACATCACTGATTAGTTTCCTCCATACACCTTTAATCAGACACATTTAATTAATTTAAAATGCTCTGATGAACACTGGTGGTGATTTAGTTGGAACACTAATGTGAGAACAGTCCCACTGATGTCCTCTGCAGATACAAACTAATCTGACATTCACTTAAACGCAACTCATCCAGTGGTGTAATAATTGATTCAGAATGATTCAATCCTGTTCCAGTTGTTTGTTTGATCAAATCACTGATTTGACTATGAGTCAGTTTCACCTCATCCTCAAGCCCACTAACAGAAGCTACTTCAAAACAGATTAGGACTTCAAGTGTAAGCTCAGTATTTTGGACCTAAATGCCTTAATGACATGCGGCCATTCCAGACACTTACGTCAATGGCTGAGGCTTTATTTCATAATTTTATACCACAGTGAGTCTCCTCAGGAGGCGTTCAGTGGAGGTTAATGGAGCATGAGTGCAAAGCTTTAAAGGTTTCAAACTGTTGGAGTAGCACTTTCACAAAGCATGTCCTCTGGGTGTCTTCATAAGAACATTTATAACATTAACATTTATTTGGAAAGAATGTGTGCAGTGAGAGCTAAATGATGAAAACTAATTATTTCACTATGGCTGGAACCCTGCAAAATGGAGTATATAATCACACAAGCTTCTACTTAATATTGTATAAATAACATTGAAACTGACAAAGTGAACATTTCTGAAGTACGTGTCTGGGGTGACTGACAGTTATAGGTTATAGTTAGGCCTTTACATTCAGAAGCAACTATAGTTTATGTTCTTTTAATTTAAATTCAAATCTTATGTCATATGTTATGAGGAAGTACAGTGTAATTTTATACTGATGATTATTTTTGAAATTTAAACACATGAAAAAAGTGTATAGGCATGTACATATAATATGAATGTAAGTCAAGGTATAACTAGGTAATAAGTGTGTAATTACAAATTTTACAAAACCTATGGTAAAATAAAATCATTTATTCACATATTTCATGTATAGTAAATGATAATAAATGTACAATGAACTACAAAAGAATTTTTTTTCTTCTTTTTATTTTTGCATTCTGAAAAAACTTAATCTGGTCTCAGTCTTCACTCAGACTTGACAACTGTCAAGTCTTGTTCCTGACTCGTACTCAGTGTGTCCAGGTCTCGGTCTTGACTCTGACACGTCTCTAGTGGCTCTGACTACAGCACTAATGATGTGTGAAGGCTGCTAAGATGACAGTAGCTATGTTGATATCTGTTTCAGTGCTGGACATTAGTTGAAAGCAACCTGAATGATTGAGTGCATGGAATGCATTTAACAGAACAGAACAGTAGCTTTGATTCTCTCCACCTCGTTCACAGACACAATCACACAACTACACACACCTAAAAGCACCTGAGCAGTGTGCTGAGTCGTTTCACCTCCCGTATGCTGGTGGATAAAACACAACACAGTGGCTTTTGTGGTGGCCCCAGCATGCAGTGCGGTGGAGCTCCAGTGGGAGGTCCAACACTAATAAAGCAGAGACGCAGACGGAATGAAAAGACGACAAACAGCACTTTGAAAAGACACAGGGAGCAGCATGAGAGAGGAAAGAGATCACTCGCTCAAACAACCACAGCCAGACTGAACACAATAACAGAGAGAGGGAGAGAAAGAGAGACTAAAAGAGCGAGAGATAGAGAGATAGAGAGATAGATGAGGTGGTGTTATAGATGTGTTGATGGCATCGACAGGAGCTCACAGGACAGAATCTGCTGTGCTGATGTGGTGACTTTTGTATGGAGCAGTACAGATGGTTACGCTCACATTAAGTTAAACAGCTTTACAACTGTTTGAGATACAAATTCAACATTAGTCTAGAGAAGCTGAGCTTTCTGATGATTATATGATATTATATGCAGTAATCCCCATGAAATCTGAGGACCAGCCTACATCAACTGGACTGTCTGACCACCAGATCACAGTGGATACATTAGAGTTCTGCTACTCGACCCAAGCCTGATGATAAACACTGTTTGTGTATAATCTATCTCTGTTGATGTATGAGAGCGAGTTCAGGTCGTGTTCCAGTTTCAAATTTAGCAGCACCAGTCAGGCCTGCTCTCAAGTCATGGGTACAGGTCAGGATCAGGCTTCAAAATCATACTTGTGCAGATCTCTGGGATACATATTGATGGTCAAGAACCATCTGTGCATTCCTTCTACAGACATGTTTTTGTTCTTTGATTGTGAACATTTGTTTGTTCTTCAATGGCTGAATATGTGCATATATATATATATATATGCATATGTGTTCAAATAAAAGTATGCTCAAAAATCAACTATGTGCTGTATCAGAACACATAAATCACTTGGTAATACATTAATATATCACCATGTCAAAAAAGGTGAATTTGTGCTGAAGCAGATAAAATAGTTTACTTAATGATAGTTTAATACAGAACCAAGACACAGTAAAAAATATGGAGCTAATCTGTTGGTTAAAGGTTGGTCACCAAACCCTCCTATAGATAAAGTCTGTAAAAAATGAAAAAATGACCAGCAGCAAGGGTGCCAGACAAAACCCATTATTTAACAGTAAAAGTGTGTTTTCTCAATGCTGGTAAAATCTGTAAAATTAGTCATTTCATTCCTTAGGAATACTACCGTTTATTGTCATTCAACATTATCCCTAGTTTAACTAGTTAATCAGATATACAATATTTTACCATAATAATAACAGTAATAACCGTTTAAATACATGTAAATGTCTGTGAAATAAAGGTGATCATTTTTTTTTTGTAAATTTACATTCTATTTCTGTAAATTAACAACAGTGTTCAAATATAGTACATGTATTATTTATTTACATGTGTTTAATCTTTTTTTTTTTTAAAAAAAGGTACCGATCTTTAAATTTTACAGTACATTTTACAATAAGAAAACAGGATGAGCAGGATGATTTTACACACAGTACTGCAGCATAGTTTTGTATTGGTTGAGTATGGAGGCTTTAAAAGTGGCTTTTGGTCAATTTCCATCTATGTGTGAGTGTGTGTGTGTGTGTGTGTGTGTGTGTGTGTATGTGTGTGTGTGTTCTAAAATGTGTGTGAACATTTTAAAGATATTCACAAGATTACATTCTGACACTATTCAGTCTGAAAAAGGTCCATTAACCTTGAGAACAGAATAAAAGCATCATGGATGCACAGGAGTGTGTGCAGGTGAGTCTGCGTGTGTGTGCAAGTGTGTGTGTACCTGGGGGCGGATGACTCTCTCAATGTTCTTCAGGGCTGTATCAGGGGAGGGAGGGGAGCAGTCTGGAGTCAGACCTGTGTAGTCATCACCATGGTTACGCTGCTCCGCATCACTGACCGGCACATTGGAAGAGTGGCCTTGAGAAGGAAAGAGAGAGAGACAGAGAGAGAGAGAGCTTACTAAGGACTGTTAAATCATCAACATGGGACTGAATTGAAATCGTCCTCTCTGGGTTTTAATGTATCTGCATTAAGGGCTGTGGGTAGAGACCGGGGCAGATGATTCAGACTGAAGCTGGATGGAGCGGATGGAGTGAACTCTACACGTGTTTGTGTATATGTGAGTTTGAGTTTACAGCTCATATGGTAATACCAGCTGAGAGATGCACTTGAACTTGTGGTCAAAAGCTTACTCACAGTCTCACGTCTACACGCACACACACACACACACACACACACACACACACACACACACACACACACTGGACACACTGCAGGAAGGGGGTTGCCTCGGAAGAGTCTGTGGAGATTTCCCTGGAGTGTGATCACTTTCTGAGAGCAGGGGAGGGTGAAGAGCAAAAAGAGAAGCATGAAGGAGGATAAAATGAGATTCAGAGAGGGCGGCTTCAACATCATATTACACACAGGAATTGCCCCAGTAATCACACACACACACACAACTCTAATTGAACGTACTGAAGCTTAACCACATGTCTGAAATGGTCCAGTCTACACACTTGCCATCAAGCATATTATTATGCCTTGTGCAGAACGCTGACTTTTTCAAATGAAATAAATGACTCACAGCTTCATCACAGATCAGGGTGTGGAACAAGCCACTCGCTTTTTTCCACGACCCGGCCCTAAGCAATACTGCACTGGCTTTAACAAAGGAAATGTAAAAAAAGGCAGAGTACATCACATTAAAACAATGAAATGTATAGCTGTATCCACAAGTTTGGTCAGATGACATGTTTTGTTAATTTTGTAAGTGAAAATAGGTTAACACACCCTCTACAGAGAACACACTGCACATTTTTATGTATAATTACTGTTTATTTGCTAAATAACATACTGGGGAAAAAAAACATAAACTGTGGTCTGTGCAAAAGTTATGGCAAATTTTATGTTTTACTTTTTTTCAATATGTTTAACTCAGCTAATAAATAGAAACTATGCCAAATTCAAGTGTGTTCTCCGCAGAGGACGTGCACTTATTTTCACTTAGAACATCAACAAAACATGCAATTTGACTAGGGACATTCATACAACCGTAAGAATTAAAAAAAAAAATTCTCGTACTGCTACATTAAATAAGAAAATGAGAAAATGAGTAGAAGAAAATGCCCCCCTTAAGAACAATGCCTATTCACTATAAAACAAAAACAGACCTAAGTTGTGACGTACAGGATGGTGATGCATAAACCTACACATAGGAAGGGGAAATAAACTGGAACAGCAGTTCATTTTGTTTTGCAGCATCAAAAATATATATCTTTAAAAGGACCATTCTGCAAACACCACACACACACACACACACACACACACACTATAATGGCACAATGCCACCCACACACCCCTCTTTACTAGACCTTGCATATTTAAAAACTGTTATAAGCACAAAACAAAAAAACATTATATTTAAAAATGAAACTGAGGGCTCTATTAGTGTATGTCTTAAAGATTCCACTTCATTTTAATAAGCTCTGACCAAACAAAAATGGCAATAAAATATAAACATCTAAAAGATCAATGATGTTAATTAATTAAATATTTATTGTGTTTGTATTAGCTTACATGATGATATTCTCTAAATTCCTTTGATGGTATAATTTTTTTTTCTTCTTCTTTTTATTAGTACTGCTACAATAATAAGTAAAATAATTCAAACAAAGCAATAGCATTCAACGTTTAATTGGTACGTGCAGATGATTATTGCACATGACAAAACAAATAATGTGTGGATGTCACTTTATCAAGCTGCAAACTTGCATACAAACTCTCTAGCATACAAACTATGCCTAGCAATAATCATTACAGCCAGCTTTAGTGAACAATTGTGTGTCTTTGTGATTAAATTTTAAGTAACACACAACCTATCGGAGATCAGCCTCACCTGACTACTGATCATTCTCACATGTTCTGTTTATCATGTGATATGTTTAGTTAGCTTTATAAGCCCCGGGCTTTAGTTTAGGAAGATTGTGAGGCATTGCTGCTGTCACCAAAGATACTCAGCGTTTCATTCTGCATGCCGGTTTGTTTTCTTGTTTTTTGACCTTTTGCCTGTTTATTTCGACTCTGCCGTTTGCCTGATCGCTTGGACTTTGTTATGAGTGTGATTTTCTGGTTTTGGATTGTTTTGGACTTCACCTTGGCCTGTTTTGTAACAATGAGTTCGGAACTCTAACTAGTAAAGTCTCTTCTGTTTTTACAATCCGCATGCGTCTGACTCATTCTGTCCCGTTACAGAGGCAGTATGTTAAAGAGGTCTTTTTGCACTTGCGCCAAATGTGTAACATTTTCACTTAAAAGAAAGTTTTTTCTCTCTCTCTCTAAAGGAAATGTACTACTTCCTTTAAAGAATTTAAAACTGTGCTATGTAACAATTTAAAATTATTGACTGTTGCGTTGAAACTGTACGGTTTGGTATTTTGCTGATGTGCTCCAAACAGCCCTTTCAGACTACCACTTCATTCCAGGCCCAACCAATGCACATTGGGATGGTTTGCACTCACAGTGGGAGGGAAGACGAGGACTGACCAAGGAGCTGCTGCTGAGAGCTGGAGAGAGCTGCAGAAGGTAAAAAGATTGAAGATGATCTCAGAGTTAACTCTGATTGGCTGACATCAGTAACGTGGAGCGCTGGCTAATCATCCAGACCTCACACAGTTAGAATGTCTTCCATGTAGAACAGCAGTGAAGCCTGTGGGGCTGACTGTATGTCAGACTAGAACTTATTTTATGGAGCCAAAATCATATTCAGTAGACTGTACGCAACACACACACACATACACACACATACACACAGAATATTAGCTTGTTTAGTGACCTGCTCACGTGACAGTTTCTCAACAAAAGCATAGCTGTTAGTGTGAGATAAGAGAAGAACTTAGTCTTTCACACACTCACTGAGCATCTACATTCGGCTCACATGCTCAGTTCAGAGAAGAGGGATAAAGTGATAGTGGAAAAATACACAAACCAGCTCAGAACTGTCCTGACTGATACATGCAGGGAATGGAATTGTCTGGCGTGTCAAGTAGTGACAAGACACACACACACTCACACCTCATACATACTGTACATACTAGGGTCGATATAATGGTTTAAATGTAACTATTTTCTATAAATTCAGGTCCAGGCCTATTTTTATTACCAATAAGACCAGTACATCAAATTTTTGGAGGCTCTTGAGATTTAAAAATACCACTCTTTAATAAAACAATTAGTATGTCTTAGTATGTACAAACACAGCTGTATGCAAATGATTGAACATCCCCCAGGTCAAATTGAACATATTGGAAAAAAACTAAAACTTTTGTACAGGCCACACGTCAGGGGTTTGCCCTGAGCTAGGCTCAAACTCACAACACTTATGTTGATAGTCAAGAGCATTAAGGGATGAACCACCTGGCAGACAACAAGAGATGGACTCAAGCGCAGAGCAACTATGGATCTGGGAAAGATAAACTTCAAAAGGAGATAAAAAGGGTTAGAGCAAGGGGGAATGATTTGAATGAGGAAAGAAATAAAGGGAAAACAAACAAAAGAAACACGGAGCGTGACTGGTCACAGGCCCTTGGGATTGCACCCTCAACCACTGAGATTGCGGACTAACGTGTCACGCACCGAGCCACCAAAGAGGTGACAACCATGTTAAACTCAAAGACTTAAAAGGATATACGAAACTGAGAACGGCCCAGACTGAACTTTAAAAAACTCCCTTCGTAATCTCTCCCCCACTTCTCCGTGAGTATCGAGGGCGAGAGAACGCTCAAGAGATTTTTCTTTTTTTTAATACTTTCGCTTTTCTCATTAACTTGAGAAAAACAAAGGGCTCGAAACTCAAGAGGGATACCGAAAATTACCAGCTTCGTCAGAGTGACCTGCGAGTAGCAGAGTGTACTCAAGACTGAGCAGCAAGCAGCATGTGAGCACTCAGCAAACAGGGTGCCCACAGCTACAACTGCTCAGCCCTAATTACTCGGTCCTGGCTGTCAGGTCCCTCCTAGTGGTCGGAGGAGGCCTAATAAGTTGCCTGGACGTTATACACATGTTAAATTCAGCAAGTTAACTTATATATATATATATATATATATATATATATATATATATATATATATATATATATATATATATACAGTTGATTTTAAGTACTTAACAAAGTGGCGCTTGATGTATACCTGAGCAATATGTACATTATCTTTCTCTCACTCATGCATACACACATTGATACAAACTGCAAAGTCAAATCTCAGAGCTGCCTCAGATCTCGTGCCCGCAGGAACCAGCAGAAAGCGCAGCACCAGTAAGTGTTGTCCAGACAAAGACATACACAAGCTTCTTTCCATCTCCCCAACTCCTGCAGCCCTCCCTCCTCATACGCACCCACACAGCAGTGTCATGAATACGGAGGAGCTCTCCTCCTTCCTTATGTAAATGACACTGGAATATTCATGAAGCGTTAAACTGCACTGTGTTAATAACTGAAACAAAATGGCAGCCTCATGTGTCTGGGCTCTACTCGTTTATGTCTCTCTCCTCTTCTCCTCTCTGTGTAACAGTCTGCTGGAGGCTGCCTTTCTTTGCAAGCAGGTGGTGGAGACACTGTTTGCTACAGATTAGAACATTTGTCTTCACTGAGGGGGTCCAAGGTGTGCGTGTGCCCAGCATGTGGATCAGTGTCCATATGTGTGTGAGTGAGTGTGTGAGTGAGTGTGTATGTGTTGGGACTCTGAAACCGCAGCAAAGAGTGTGTCTGTTAGACTGTTAATACTCCACAGCTGCTCTGATGAAGCCTGGCCTCCTCACAGCGTACTGCAGGTTGCTCAATGGGCCTTGGCCTGTAAACTGAGGATGCACTTGTGGAGTGGTTTGCATTTGCAGCCATGAGCTCCAAGATTCTGATCCATGAG